CAATCGCGGTTCTCAGACTGAGCACCTGCTGGAGATTCCGAATTAGGCTGGTGAACTTTGTCCCTGTTTATCAGTAACTGACAAAACAAAAGCATCACGGGATGGCTCTGAGCAACAAGCAGGTTGATAAAACCAAGGTAAGCAACAAATGCTGTAGAAGAGAAGGATAAGAATGTGAGATGGAGGGAGACTGGAACCTCATGGCAAGCATGTGCCAGTGAATGAACACATTAAAAGGTAAAGGTCTTTTAAGGACATTGTTGAATGATTGGATTGCAACTGTCGTTGTTAACAAGTTACATTCTTTTGAGAAGGGAGAGAAACGGTTTAGGAAGGAAGTAGCCTGGCCATAGACGGTTTTTTTCGACAATCTGACAGTGCGGGCGCGCTAGAGCAAGCACGGAGCGCCCTTGGGGTGAATAAATCCCCCGCGGTTTTTATTTCCATACGCGTGCTCGACGATCTGTCGATAGAAAATACGCGCACTCGACGATCTTTAAGGGGAAAAATTGAGGGTCTGTGAACAGCCCAGGGAGGAGGATGATGATGTGTCGAAAATATAAGAGAGGAGGGAGAAATCAGGCGATAAAGAAGGGATGAGAGGGAGAGCAAAAAAATAGGGACGTATGACATCGATATTATCTAATGTATCGTATGGTCTCTACCGCGATAACCGCCCTCACCGTGAACTGACTGCATGTTGTAAGTTATTTCTAGTTGTTTTCATATTTCAAATGCAAGAAGAATAAAAATTATCTTGGTTACGAAAAACCGTGTACAGTTTCCCCCTTTAAAGATTTCGACATGCCTCGGTCCAATCTTTGAAATCCCTGCATCAAGGTCGACCGGTCTATACGAGCCAGGAATACAACTCCTAGAACTATACCCAAGGTGATGCGAAGAAAGCCAGAAAACAATCCGACCAGAATGTTGAAAAAGAACAAGAAGTATGACATAATCGAGAACAAGCGTCTGCAATATAAATCAATCAATCAATCAATCAGTCAAATAAACATATAAATAATTATTAAAATAAATCAATAAAAGAAAAGGATGGAAGGCAGAAAGAGTGATAAATGTGACCCTTTTGCCGCGTTGTCACGTACGGTAGGTTGAACTGTTTTTACAAGGTTCAAGAACCAAACGAGAAGACGTAGTGAAGATGGCAAATACCTGTTATCCACAGTGATGACGATCCTGGGAAAATCTCTGTCGCGGAAAACATAGTGGACAAGAAACAATTGGAAGGAATAGAGGACAACGGACATGATAAATGCGTACCTGAAGTAAACCACAAAAAATTATTACTCAACATAATTGATGTTAAGTAGCTTTAGACTTAAATTACCATTGGTTAATTCTTAGTCACGTGGCCTTGACTAAATTTAATAGCATCTTGTTTGTGGTACAATTCAGCAATTCAACTCAGCTCCAGATACAACAGCACATGTTGAACATAGTGGAACGCGGCGTGGGAGAAGGCGGGAAAAACCGACTGCCAATTTTTCCTTTCGTGAATGAACACAATAAAAAAAAAATGTTGCCTTAATCTTAAAGGAACGATTTTTGAAGATATCCCTTGAGTCCTGATGTTTCCATCACCTTCGTCTTGAGTGTGTCAAGCAGCAACAACAAAAACTGAGGAAGAATCGATTTTTCCTTTCCAAATTGCATGACTTCCTACCACCTATGATGCCACAGTGACTTAAACGTAACCATAGCAACCACTTTTGACCAGACTTGGCAATAATTAGGCGCTAAACGAATTATAAAGTTGCTCCTGAGGAGAGGAGGTTTGACAACGTATTATAGCGAAACAATGCAGAGAATAAAGTAACATTATTATTCATTCAAAATATTTTCCCGATTCTGATTGGCTAAAAGCACTCGTTTAATTCACCATAGCCAGTTACTGATGACCAAATTTGGAAGAATTTTGTGTTTAACGAGGAAATGACGTCAAAAATGCAGCGTTTTCGCAGGTTAAGGCACTGTTAACAGAGAAGACCTGGGGACGAGGTTGAGTTGTTTTGATTGTGAACTTGAAAAATGGCGGACATATCACTCGTTTCGAGAGCAAGAACTAGGCGAAAACATAGCTAAAAACATGCTAGGAACAGCAAGAAGACAACTCGAAGGGCGACATCTGCTATTTGGAGAATATTTGCCGAGCTGGACAAACCTAAACGTGCACTATCGAAGATGAACTTAACATCCATGGATCGATGGAGGTTAGCATGTTTTAGCCATGTTTTTAAACTAGGAATTATTTTGAATGAATAATAAAACAATTATTATTTCAGACATCCCACGGTTTTGATTTTAGTCTTCGATGGTGTGACAGGGAAAACCACCAATACGAGCCAAAAAGAATAAAATAAGCATCGACTTACACCCGAGGAAGAAAAACAGGATAACATAAGTAGTGATCGTTTCTTGTACACGGCACGCATAGTGAAGAATAAACCTCGAAAAACTCACCAAAAGATTCATTCACAAAATGTACGTCGCGGATGCAACAGCTGAAGCAAACAAACTTAAACAAGAACGCGCTTAGTAGCGTTGAGTCTCGCTTGCTTGGAGATAAATTTTTTTTGTCAGATGGTGCTGTTATGCTACTTTTTTCGTTTGGAATACAAAACGAGTGTTATATGTCATAAGGTAAATACTTAAAACTGAAAATTTGGAAGGAGAGACAGGCCGCACATCTTAGCTTCACATCGGTGTAAAGCCTTTGGAAACCTTCTGCATATTGATATTGCTCCGGTGAGGAGAACTCTTTCAGGGATTTACACTCAAAAAATTGAAGGATGACTTTTATTCGAGTATAAAAATATATAGCTTCTATGCAGCGAACACGATACGGTTCGATACATTTTTTGTTCAGCATAAGAAAAATGGGTAATTTTAGCAGAACCTTATACAACAGACAGTTCATCAAGTTCGCGCGTATTCCAGTTGAATTTGTTGCCCGTTTAATAAGGTTTTATCAAAATTGCGTGAAAGTAGTTACATTTTCCATGGCTGCTAAGTATCTGCTTTTAATATCTTCGTACAGTTTTTTTTTTTATTTTTTTTTATTTTTTTATTTTTATCTTCGTACAGTTGATGTTTACGCGATCTCAGAGTACAATGTTTAGAGCTGTACACAACGTGCATTTTATCACAGTATCACTGAGATAAAGCGTTTCATTTTCCAGGAAAATTTCACTTCCTTGTCAAAACAATCACTGACTCAGTCAGACTCGGAGTAGTTTATTGAAATTTAGTGTTCAGTACAGCAAGCGGGGCTATGTATTGTGAAATTTATCTACAGTCTGCGGCCCACATCACCACGATCCACGATTTATTTATTTACTTTATTTTCAAGTTTTTTTTTTTACCGATCCTCGATCCCCGATCCCCGATTCTCGCTCCCCGATCCTCCATCCTCGATCCTCGCTCCTGGTTTTCTAGTAAATCTCGAAGTTTTACTCATTAAGATTGTTATTTTTTTCGACCACTAAAGTAATGAATTGTTTTAAAGCAATCAACACTTTCAAGCGATAGAATTCGTCGACCGACCCGTTCCAGAAAAGCTCGATATGGGATTTCTATTCCATGGACATGAAATGCTACAAGTAGAGTGCGTGATTAGTTTAAAGCTACCCGTATAAACACATTCGTGACATATACTTAACGTCAGACAAATAGTAGAAGTTGCTTCCAGTAGTACTCGAAGGTTAAATCATTGATTCCTCAAGTATTTATAAAGTGCAACGCGACTTTACATCTTAACAACTGCGAAAATTTATCAATTAAATACCTACAACAAAGTGAATCTATTTAGCCGCAGAGTTACAGTAGTTGCGACAATATTCTGAGAAATGTAACGCCTCAATACACCACGAGAATATTTTCTCATCCTACTCGGGGTATTTAGACGTGCATAATTACACGAAAATCAAGGGTCTCGATTTGGGGAAAATTTCGTCATTGCCAAACAGCGAAAACGCTTTCAACTTACATGCGTCATTTCAGTCATCGCCGAAGATAAACCGCATGCTCATCACAAGGCTCAATTGCATACAATGAAAGTCGTCACGAATCTTATCCCCAGTCTCCACGGTCTCCGTTAGGAACGCCTGGGAGCATGCCCCCCTTTTCGCGACGGACCGACAAAAAAAAATGGTTGCATTTTTAGAGTCTCGCTCTGCTAAAGCAAGCAAGCGACAAATTTTACTTACATCACTGATTCCGCTTTTTCTACACACCATTCCCATGCTTCTTTGTGAAGAAAACGTTTTAAATACTTAGAAGCAAATACAAGGCCAAAAAGAACAAGCCATAGAAGAATTCCCATCGAAATAAATCCTGAAAAAAGAAAAAAGAAATCACACACAGTGAAACCTGTCATATGTTGCGTTCCGTTTGACCAATCTAAATCCGGATTCTGCGATCCAAAATTTGATTTTTCGTTCACTAAGGACCAAACCAATCTTAAATTGCAATCTGAACGATCCACCTCCGCACTTGGATAGTTCAGATTGGCATCTCATCTGGATTCAGATTTTTGTTCCATTTGACGAAACTGTTTTTCGATCGCAAGAACGTGCTCGTTCATCGATAAACACGGTGTGTCAAGCAACAGTTACTATTGCTTCTCCGTTGTCCTATGCCGCTGAAGAATTGAAGTATATTAGATTCAAGTTCCACATGCACATTTTTTTCTAAAAAAAATTGTTTGAATCAAATTCCAGATAATTTCAAGTTGACAAGTCCCAGTATAAGCCGCCACTATTTAAAGAGCTACTTTCTCTTCCAACGCTTGAAAATGATACGTTGATATTGAGAAGAAGATCAGAGCAGCAGACAGCTACTGTATGGATCAATCTTATTTCGTATTTTTGTTCTGGCTAGCAGGAAAATCTAAACAATCTGGATTGCCTAAATCTGAGAAATGTTTGGCTAAAAAGAACGTAACCATTAGAAGACACCATATTTAACTGACACTCGCGACTGCAAGTCATAGACATTTTCCCTAATTTTTTATGGAAAACGAAACTGCATGTATTCAACGGGATAACCCTTCCAACCCTTTATTAAGCTGATACAAGCGATCAGTCCTGCACATGTGGATGTCAAGTCTTCTTCTCAGATTCTTCGCAGCCTCCCGTCACGCAACGCTCATTAAAGTACTTTATGGGTTCCGGGATAGTGGTGGAAAATGACAAGTCAAAGGCGATGTGGGCACTTTCTTATCTGACCTAAAACCATACACATCTTCTATACAAAGTAGTGAATGTGATTTCGAGCCAGGTTGCAACTCGGACTGACTGTTTTATCTTACTACAGTACAAGCTGTTCTAACCGTTCTACCCCTTAGCCCGAAGAGTGATTAGCATTAAATTTCTTCTTGTAATAATCTTAACTTGATAATACAAAGTGGTACCGAGAATCAAGGACTTGATCACACAAGTTAATTTCTATTGTCACTTTAACAACTTCTCAAGCGTGTTAAGGCATGATGGCTCAAGTTTTGGTTTCGACTCCCCGCGAAGATAAAGCTGTTTTTCGTTTACGGCCATGCATTCGAATTCTAAAAGTTGCAAAAAAACTTTCGAGAAAATTTCTTTCGAGGCGTTGTATTAATTAGGGTTGAACTGATGTAGTCACGTGAAACGTGACGTCATAATGATGTTCAAAAAGAAATTCAAAATGGGGTAGGAATGGTTGATTACAACTAAGTTTGAACCATGTGTAAATGATTATTTTACCGTACGAATTTTTTCCGTGGCCGGAACGGAGAGTCTTTTTAATTTCTTAAGAAGATATTAACAGGTGAAAAGTGTCACGTGACCTATTTTTCTTAATTACTAATTATATATATATATATAAAAAGAGTAAACCATTCCGGCGAGATACATGCGAGAAATGATGATACAATAACAATAATACTGTATTTATACTGTGTGGCATCTCGCCACCCCATTTTTAGTGTTCTTTTCTTTCCTGGACTCGACCATAACTGGTCACGTGACACAGATATCTGATTTCTTACGTTACAGGAAAATTAAGGTTACCGATTTTTTCGAGCTTGCCAAACTTTGGAAGGTTCTGATAAATTTTCGTAAAGTTATGATCATTACAAGATTTTATGCAAACTAGCGCAAAGGCAAGCCTGAACATGCTTGAGTTCTCCGCAGTGCTTTTATAGGAACTGTATTGGGAAAATTTGAATTTATTTCAATATTTAACGATTAATGAACGAGGTGAGTATCTTACGAAGAATTATGGTGATCGAGGAGGGTGTTATCCGTCGAGGATGTAGGCCGAGGCGGATAACACCCTCCGAGATCTCCATAATTCTTCATATGATAAGAAAGCCGAATTCAATAACCGTTTTATTATTCATTCGAAATAATTCCTAGTTAAAAAACATGGCTAAAACATGCTTACCTCCATCGATCCACAGATGTGAAGTTTATCTTTGATAGTGCACGTGTAGGGTTTGTTCAGCTCCGCAAATATTCTCCAAATAGGAGACGTCGCCCTTCGAGTTGTCTTCTTGCTGTTCGTGCCATGTTTTTAGCTATTACTTTGCCTAGTTCTTAATCTTTAAACGAGTGAAATGTCCGCCATTTTTGTTCTACAACCGAAACAACTCAACCTCGTCGCCAGGTCTTCTCGGCTAACGGTGCATTAACCTGCAAAAAAGCTGCACTTTTGACGTCATCGATCCATAAAACGCAAAATTCTTCTAAATTTGGTCATCAATAGCTGTTTATGGTTAATTATGCCAGTGCTTTTAGCCAGTCAGAATCGGGGAAAAATTTTGAATGAATAATAATGGGTTGAAAGGCCGGGTTAAGCGGAGACCCTCTAGTCAGCTTTGTGAAGGCTGAGCAAGAAAAAGAACCGGTGAAACTTGTAAATGTCAGCTTTTACTGTAGTATGATAGTTACAGCCAAACAGCATAATTATTTATTGCAACCTAAATCAAAATCACTTGTAGTAAGTTGTATAAATGTGATTTCAGTTCAGATAAAGTGACTACATGTTTAAGGTTCAAGTAAGAAATAGCCTTTGACTTTGACTAGCCATTCTTTACCACCATGCCCGAACCCACAGAAAATTTCTTTAATGAGCAGGTGTCATTCCTTTTCGCTGGCTAACGACGGACTTGCCAGTTTTCTGTTCTGTTTTTTTTTGTTATTATAATTTTGGTATTTAGAGTTGTAAGACAAGTGGTCAATCACTTGAGAAGAATTTTAACATGACCTTTGCTTGACGTACCGTACGTCGATCACCATACTTAGAAAGATAAAGCCTGCTTAACGCACTCTTATCTTATTGTTAAATGTTCATAACATTAACCCTTTAAGCACTAAGAGTGATCAGCATCAAATTTCTCCTTGTAAAACCAATACTTTGTAAAACAGAGTAATGGTCATGAGAATTATGGACATGATCACACAAGACGGAATTTGCTTGAAGTTTTATCATATTCTGCAACAAATGAGAATTCAAATTTTGTTCTTAGGTTTTAAAGGATTAAAGGATTTCAGCGACTCCCACTTTAAAAATCCGTGTCGAGAGGAAATTTTCTCTGCAAGCATAGTTTTAAAAAATATGGGCCACTTTTAGTCCACGTTCCACTCTTGTAAATGAAACCTTCAGCAGTTCCGCCATAAGCAATCAGTTTTTTTTCTTTTACTTTGAACTTAAACATTTTAGATGGCAGTAAGGAAATGAGCGGGACAATGGATTAGAGCAGATTTCCTCCATACTAAGAAAAAAAAAATACTGGATGCTACTAAGCTTACGAAAGTGATATATTAGAACTCCTACCATAAATTGTATAGGCAACTTGATATCCCGAGAATCGAAGACTCCCTAACTGAAATTAAAAACAAACAAACAAACAAACAAACAAAAACAATTCTGAGCACCCCTAACGGAAGTCAGTCACAGAATGTTTATGATTTCTGATTGGTTTTATTTGTGTGTTTCTTAGACATTTTGCGCCTTGGAAGACTCGTGGAGAGTCAGGCCATACAACGACTAGGATCATTTTGTGAAAAAAAATGTTTTATCTGAAAACGACGGTCCGACAAACTAATTAATTTGTGTAATATATATATAAAAAGTGTTATGCAGCTTCATGGATGGCACGGGGTTCATACAAACATTTTTCAAGGACTTTTGAAGGACCACCTACCAGGAAGGTATTTTTTTGTAAAATTTTTTAAGGACTTAGGAAGGACCACCTACCAGGAATGTAATTAGATTGTACAAGAGGACTTTATAGGCTTGAACTGTTTGCTCCACCAACTTACCTACATTTTTCAGCACACTTGTCTTAAATTGATAGTTAATTATTGCATAGAACAAGAACGCTTTTCAGGCTACTACATTCAGAGTTGAAGAGAATTCAAGGACTTTTCAAGGACATCCACAGAAATTAAAGGACTTTTCAAGGGAAAAGGAATTCAAGGACTTTTCAAGGACTTCCCCTAAAATTCAAGGACTGGTGGTCACGAAACTTTTTATTTTGTAAAGGCGAATCCGGAGTACCCAGAGTTTTTATTTCATCTTCTGTTAATATAAGAGCTGAACTTTGTCCTAGTATACATTTTGGCTAGGTATTACACATACCAGGGTGGATTTTTTTGGCCTATGAAGTTGCTCATTTTTTAGCCATTTTAAAAAGTGCGTTTGATGGTAGTTTTAGAAAACCGTAAAAAAAATTCAAAATCATGTTTATGGTTTAAAACATACCATGGATAGAAGTAGATAATTTTTACTCTAATTTTTTTGCGTAATTAATTAGGTAAAACCCGCTATTCTCGTTCTTCCTCATTTTCTCGAAAGCTGTAGATAATTGAAAGTTAAAAATATTTTTTTCGACAATAGTTCCCCAAAGGGTTTTTTCTGACAAATTATCAGAATTTTCGATTTTTTTAGCATTGCCAGCGATTCTTGATATTTACAGTCATGGGTTCTTAAGCTAATTGAAGGACTCACCACTAGTTTAGCAGGCGAAGGAAACACTCCTTGGGCAAACCTTCTTTGACCTCTATAAAGCTGTAGAACATGATCCCTGGAATAAATAAGGCAAAGCGATTACCGTACAGATCAAGTATATGCGATCCTGGCAACCGTTAGCCCAGGGTCTGGAAGGGTATTTTCGGGATCCGGGATTTGATTGAAATACAGTGAGGGATTAGGAAAAACGCAACATTTTTTGACGGGATACGGAGTTTGATCACTTTCAGGAAGCAGAATTGGCTAAATTTTTGGCACGGGATGCGGTATTGGGAAAAGAAAACGTTATTTGGAATAGAGATGACACTAGCAGTTCGAGATGCGGGATTGTCTTTAAAAAATGAGCTGGAATGCGGGATCAGGACCCCCCTTCCAGACCTTGTTAGTCGTGATTGGTAGATCATTTTTTGCTGCGTTAGCAATGTAATTACGTTAACCTCTTACCCTTCCCTTTAAAAATCCCCTTATTGCAAAGATTTGATTTTGCACTAAACAGTCAATTGAAGACAACTGTACTTAATGATTATCTGCAGATTACACAAAGTGGATTTTAAAATTCTTCACTCATGACAAGATTGAGTTTGTTTTGTCATGGTCGTTATAGAAATAAAGTGAATTACCAAGGGCAGCCTCGCCAGTTTTAAACAAGCTCGCTCTCTCCAATAATCCCTATCTCCAATTAAAATAAGCCCCATCCCGGGGGTCTAATAAAGAGATCGCGCGCAGAGACCAAGCCCTGCCCCACTCAAAAATGTGAAAACGAATAGTATCAAAAATTTAAAGCCTTATACAGTCGAAGCTCTCGTTAGCGACCACATCGGAAATTCAAAAGAGGGGTCGTAACTAGAGCTGATCGCTTACGAGAATGAGCTCTCGTAAGATGATTCTTTCGTAAGAGACCGAAAGGTAAAACAATGGACGGTGGTCGCTTACAGGCTGAGGAGCTTCAACAACTCATTAATAATTCATAAAGGCAAAACAATAGAAATCAAAGTTAAATGAGTGTCTATATATCTGATATAGACACGGCTAAACTTTACATCCAGTCTTTTAGACCAAAATCGTAATATTAATGCAAGAATGAGTTGATCTACACCAGAAGATTTCGAAGCCGTTCAGTAAACTCCCAGTTAGTGGTCACTTACAAGAGCTTAAAAACAAAGGAAAAGTCCAGTTGGGTAACTCCAAAAGTGGTCGCGGTCGCTTACAGTTGCTTTTCATCACTAAGTATAAGTCACAGCTCAAACGGGGTTTTACAAGGGTGGTTGTAACTAGAGCTGGTCGCTTACGAGAGTGGTCGAAAGGAGAGCTTCGAGTATATTTTAAGTCAGTGTCACATTTATGGTTAACGCCTAACTCAGTTCAGAATACTTTCTGGTGATGAGGCACTCAATCCTTCCAATCCCCCCCCCCCTTTTATTAACAATCTGCCTTCACACAACTTATAATCTTGTCCTCACCGATGGCTCTTCATAAAATGCAGAAGCAATATGGCACTTATCATCGCTGACAAAACAAAAGCTGCTTGCCACATGCCTAGAAAAAGATACATCACGCTAAATTAAGGCCTGTAATGGACTAGCTAAAAGAGTAAAATTTTGGTTGCAGGGCTCGAGTAGAGGTTTGTTGACGTGCGTGACGACAATCTCCTATCGCAACACAGACTTCATTTTACTTAGGTGTAATTTCGGCGTTTATTTTTATTTTCACCAACACTGGGCTCATATTGGGTCCCATTCACACGTTGTTTGAAAACAAATAATTTTCTCTCCGGAATAGCCTTTCGTCCACCCGTATCAGATAAAAACGGCTATAAAAACGCAACTTTTTAAATGCTCTCCTATATTGAAAGTTTGAAAATCCCAACATCACGTGGAAAGATGGTAGAAGACGATTTTGGAAAACGATGACATGACAATATCTGCATGGTTAACGAGCGTAGTAAAATGTCCTACCGACAGGGGATCTTTTTAACTCTACTTTTCCTGGGAGGGCTCAAAGATTTATCCTATAGAACTAAAAAATTTAGTGTCCACAATTTTTGCGATGAAACTGGACAGTTTTATACTTCATCAAATTAACAGATTGCCGGTAATAAAGTGCCACGTATATGACGACATTATGACGTCATTAGTTAAAAATTGGCGTCTTTCACTATTTTTGATATATCTTAGCCTCAGTGTCAGGTCTTACTTACCTACAGAAACTTGGGTGCCTCGTACCATGATCAAACAAAACTTTTTCTTTCTATACAGGCGGATGGGGACATGGAAAATTCCAAAAAGCTCAACTGGTTACATTTTAATTGTTATGTGTTACGAACTGTCCCGGTTAATACAGTCTTTCGCTCTAAGAGCGGCGATTTGTGAAAACAAGGATTATCAAACACAGGTCTATAGACAAGACCTCAGAGGGCCTAGAATAGGCCAGGATGTCATGCTTGCAGTCATTTTGGGGAAGAGAGAGAGAATTTTACGGCGATTGGAGGGCACTTCCACTGGGTTGAAATCACGTGACAGGGCGGCCATGTTGCATGACAAACCATACAAATTTTTAGTGGAATCTGCATGAAAAAAAAAAACTTAGTTCCCAGGCAAGGGAAATGCATCAGCTATTGTCCACCAACATGGCCGCAGTGACTTCAGCTACAAACCAGCAGTACGGACAAAAAATTATTCGTTTTCAAACAGAAATGGTTTGATATATGCATGTGAACAGGAAAACGATTTCAGTAAAATAGAGGGAAATAAAATAACGTTTTCAAATAAAAACGGAAACGTGTGGAGAGGACCACATTTTTAAAAAAGCTAACTTTGCATGATAATAAATCACGAAAGACTCGTGAAATACGGCTCATTACTAGCTTCGCCGGGATGAAGGCGGCGCTAGATTATTGGGAAGAATTGTGAACGAGCTTTTCATAAACGTCGTTCGTCTGAAACCTTCTGACTATTGCAATACATTTAATTTGTCACGACCTTCAGAGTATTTATTGAAAGTAACTTACTTACCAAATAGGTCAAAAAAAAGATCCTTAAAGACAGGCAGATCTGCAGATTTCTTTTTCAGAACGTCGACAACATAAAGATCAAATACAAAGATCTGTAAAAAAAAGTACGTTGAAAACAACTGTTACACTCTTAAGCTGTTCATTATGTTCATTATTTTTCATCCTGTTGGCAACTCCAACTCTGCATGCATGGCTTGGCAGCCTGGATTGGCAATATATTAAGTGCGTTGTATTGGACTGCTACTGCCAAAACTGTCCACAAAGTATCCTATGTCATATTGCATTGGTGAGTCACGTGCCTTTGCCAAAGAACCCTCCCCTCACCCCCTCCCCCCTCAACAAAAGAAATAAATAAAATAGAGAAAACAATATGATAATGAAAATACGAAAATTGAATTCAAAGCAAGACATAGTTTTAAGGTGGCTCGATACAGTTTTTCAAGGCCAATACCTCCCAAGTTTGAGCATAAACTACGTCGCCATAAACAAAGTTTTGGAAAAATTGCGACCACAGTTGTATTAGATAAAGATGAAAATTTGTTATGATCAGGGTTGCAACGGCATCGGAGTTGTCATAGCAACGAAATGACGCAATTACCTATTTTACTTGCAGCAGTATATCACAGCACTGAGGACTGTTCTTCCAAAATCGTTCATGGGAGCGTTTTCCTCCAATAGTGGCCTCGATGTTCGTGAAGTTTAAGCGAAATCTGTAAGAGCGTTATCGAGATATTTTGGGATGAAGTTTTTATGGTTAGAAACACAGTACAAAATGGACAATATTGTTGTTTGGCCGTTATCTGTAGAAAATGAAGCGCTTTTTACGTGCAATTTCACATCATAGTAGTTTCAGTCTTTTTAAAAACGTGTGTGAAAGATCATGGAGGTAGCTCCAGCCGATTGCTAGAAAAAGGGGTTTTATTAGTATGTATCGAAGCGCTCTTGTTAGCGGTTTTGTAAACATTTTGGTCTTCTTTAACAAATTAGCGAATAATTTTTAAACCGCTCGATAGATTTTTGGTAAAATTTAAGGTTCTTGAGATTAACCTTTCTTTCATATGACCTTTTAGTTTCAAGATTATTGATACATTGTAAGGCAGTAAAATAAGGGCTACAATTCGTTACTTTTTTATCGGAAGTTTCGTTATTACAAGTGAAAACCTCTCATTATTCAAGGCATTGTCTCCAAGTTTCATTTTCACGTGAACAACAGTAACTAACAATGCATTTGACATATGCAAAAATGCTAGCTATTGTTATGCGCGAAAATATGAACCTTGGACACAATACCCTGAATAATGAGAGGCTCACATTTGTAAACACAAAATTTCTGCCAAAATATTGGCGAATTTTAGCCCTTAGTTTACTGCCTAACAATATATCAATCATCTTGAAACTAAAGGGTCATATAAAAGGAAGGTTAATCTCAAGAAAATTAATTTTTTTAAAAAATCTATCGAGCGGTTTAAAAATTATTCGCTAATTTGTTAAAGTAGACCAAAATGTTCAAAAACCGGTAACAAAAGCGCCTCGATACATACTAATCAAATCCTTCTTTCTAACAATCGGCTGGAGCTATCTCCACGGTCTTTCACGCACGTTTTTAAAAAGATTGAAACTACTATTAGGGAAATTGTATGTAAAAAGCGCTTCATTTTCTACAGATAACAGCCGAACATCAAGATTATCCATTTTTTACCGTATTTCTAACCACTAAATCTTTATCCCAAAATATCTCGATAACGCTCTTACAGATTTCGTTTAAACTTCACGAACATCGAGGCCGCTATTGGAAGAAAAAGCTCCCGTGAATGATTTTGGAAGAACAGTTCCCAGTGCCGAGAAATACTTCTGTAAGTAAAATAGGTAATTGGCTCATTTCGTTGCTATGACAACTCCGATGTCATTGCAACCCTGATCATAAAAGATTTTCATCTTTATCTAATACAACTGTGGTGGCAATGTTTCCAAAACTCTGTTTATGCGACGTAGTTTATGCTCAAACTTGGGAGGTATTGGCCTTGAAAAACTGTATCGAGCCACCTTAACTGCCTTAGTGTTTCATCTTATTGAACAGTCACACTACTTCCAGGACGCTGGGCTACTGGCGCAGTGGTGAGAGCACTTGCCTCCCACCAATGTGGCCGGGCTCAAATCTGACGTTGACACTAAATGTGAGTTGAGTTTGTTGTTGGTTTTCTCCTTTGATATAAGAGGTTTTTCAACGGGTTCTCCGGTTTTCCTCTCTCCTTAAAAACCAACCTTCCAAATTTTCAATTCAATCTGGAACGTACGGACACGTTTCAACGAGTTCTCATGAACTCCTAATTGCTCCGTGGGTAAACAAATTACAGTTACAATGACAATTACAAATTAAACGAAGCTCCCTACAAAACCCAAGCGGCAGCAAGAAATTCAAAACGTACCTGAAAGACAGTTATTGCAGCAACTACAACAGTTGAAACTAACTGGGTCGAGAATTTGAAATCTGAAATACAATCAAGAATACTATTAGGCATAGCCCGCGAGCAAGCTCTCCGTGGCGCTCTGGCGGCAGGGCGGGATAACCCAGGAGAGCTTGAAATTACGTCTCTTGAATTTGAATTTCACCTCCAACTCGCTTGTCGCTCCCCGTCGACTGAGCTGTCAGATTTCCCCCAATCAGCGAAAAGTAGAAACAACAAAAAAATGTAAACAAACATTAAAAAAGGGCCAAGGGTAATGACGTCATTATTAATGTCATATCCGCCAATCAGCATTTCTCATCGACTTTTTCCATGAAGATATTCAAATTCCAGAGACATAGTTGCAACCTCTCCTTCCTTTTCCCGTCCCGCCCCGCCCCCCCCCGCCTCCACCCGCAAGAGCTCTCCGGAGAGCTGGGTCGCCGGCTATAATTATTACGCAAGACAAGGCAGTATTTGAAACAAGTTTAATAAAAAGAAGAAAAAAAACACACACACACAGACACACAACGAAGAGCTGTTTCAATTTCTAATAACTTTGTCGTACAAGTATGGACTTGAAATAGACTTATAAGTAACATCGCGGGAACTGTAACATCAACGCCTGTAAGTAAAAGGATGTTATGTGTCAGTCACCTGAGTTATAGTTGTCAAGGGGAGAAGAAATTATGAAGTAGTAAAAACGTTTATTATACATTATTACAAGAGTCAATCAGTCATATGGTTATAGTAGTCGGTAAAGCCCGTGAAAACGGACGCAATATTGTTGGATGTTACATGTTGCGTCCGTTTGCACACCCTCAGTGCATAGATGTTGTTGCGTGTTGTTGGGAGTTGTTGCGCAAAGTTTGAAACCAGTCAAACTTGTAGCCCCGTGCCAACGGGCGCAACATTGTTGGATGCTACATGTTGCGTCCATTTTCACACCCTGTAGTATGTTGTTGCGTGTTGTTGGGAGCTGTTGCACAAACTTTGAAACCGATCAAATTGTTAGCTACGTGCAAACAGACGCAATGTTGGAAGTTGTTGCGTCTATTTGCACGTATAGCTTAGGGTGCTAACCATTGATACAAATAAAGATACAGAAAACCATCAATGCAAATAATAATAATAATAATAATAACAATAATAATAATAATAATAATAATGATAATAATAATAACATTCACACATTAACTACGGTTGAAAAGGCTCGTAGGAAAGCACTAAGAGCAAACAACGGACTTCAAAGTATAGAGGGTTAAGAGTCGGACTGCAGCCACATAATAAAATAAATAGCAATTTAGATAATGACGCTTATTTAACAAACCTTCTCTCGGCTTGTAAATGGAGTGCAGCAGCTTAATATACCACTTCGCGTCGGCTGCATCCCTTTAAAACGAACAAAGAAACAACAAAATATATATGTATGGGTTATCACAAGATTTCGAGTACAATTTGGAATGGACACGGAGCTCAATTACCACGTTATTACAATCAGTCATTTTGAAATCGGAGAATTCAGTCAGTACCAATATTTATTTGACCAAGGTTTGTTGAACAGCGGGAAAAAAACAGGGTTTTACATCTCATTTTGTAATCGAAACAGACTGAGGGCCTCTTCACATGAGCCCGGTTGAACAGGAAACTGGGTGTGCCTGTTATCACGAATCGTAAAATAATAACGACTATCCTTTCACATACCATAGTTAGCCTTTGGTCCCTGCAAATCAAAAGCCATCCCAAAGTATAAAGCTCAAGTACCTATGAAACCTGGTCAGATCACAGCAAAGGCAGATACGAAACAGGTGAAACAATTTTAAGAAAAGGTTCAGCTTTATAGTGCAGACTGAATATAATTTCAGCGATTGAGTCCCCATATTTTTATTGCTGCCGGGCATCAGCCGGCAGCAGACCATATTCTTGATCCATTTGAGATTTTTGGTTGGATGGTTGGATGGTTGGATGGTTCCATGGTTCCATGGTTCGATCGTCATCTGTGACTGCAGCGCTGTGCAGTCAGCGGTTTGCTTAGCTGCCGCGCCTGTTTTTCTCTTAGGAGCAACCCGCCATTTTGTTTTGCTCTCATGTAAGATCTGTGCAGAAATCGTAGTTTATCGGATGCTTGCTGTCTTTTTAAACGGCCTAAACGGTAAGAACAGTTCAAGATGTATTGTACGGAACATTTTTCGGTTTATTTTTTTAATTCAGGTTTCAAGATTAATTATAGCGAGTATTCTTTTGTCACACAGATTGTTATCTCGGTAATCAGGATTGTAAGTTACATAAGTGAACGGCATGTGCTGTACATCTACCTGACCTGTGAATAAACAAGTTTTGGCCTTTACGTCATTTGTTCGCAACTCATCTCATCGATCCTGTGTACGATGATTGTTCGATGAAGAAAAAGCCTATCAGCACTGCTGTTGTTTTAGAATTTCGTGAATTATTAAAATGAATTATAAAATGGTATTGAAACCTAAGCGAGTTATATGAATGTAAGCATATTTGTCATCGTGATCGATCGGTTCATTTTTTATATTACGCTCGGAGTGTTTCATAATGCCAGCAAGTCTAAGTTATTGACTTTAATAAAAAAAATTGATATGTTCAACTGTTCTACAAACTGTCTTTGTCCTATTCGCTTCGCAACTAACGGCAGCACTTCCCTTCTTAATGAGAACTTCTAGTAACTTACGTGTATACAAAATCTAGTATCAGTAAGGAACAAGGCATTCAGGAAGTACATCGAGGAATTAAGATATCCGTTCATTGCCAAACATAAACAAGGGGAACAACAAGTGAAAATATAAGCTCTGTAAACCTCATTATACCTCAAGAAAAATTACCCTTCATTTCACTATGTGTTGATTGTATTTTTTCAGTTGAAATCACCTTTTTATTCCTTCAAAAAATTTGATCTTCAATAAAATGAAAAAGGTAGTCTTTCCAATCCCTTTATTTTTCATTGGGTCATTTTTATTTGTGCAATTAATGAATCACCACTGGGTTGTCATAATACCAAATTAATTTAAATTACAGGGAGTTAAGTGGTACGAAGTCACAAGTTACATGCGAATCGAGTGCACAGAAACGAAGCTTAACTACTATTTTTAAAATAACTAAGATAGTACGCGCGCTCTGAATGGCCGAGAGGCGTGTTTTCGTGAGAGTATGTAAACGTGGTTGTGACGTCAAGATGTTTTGCTTTTCGCGCGCTAATCACGCAAGCACGAATTTGGAAAAGCTTTTGAGTTGAAAACTCGACAAGTTTACTTTATTTACCCATTCCCTCGTCGGCTAAAACTTGGAAAATCTTTTTACAAAAGTGCGGTGCAAATATTTTTTTTCGCCCGGCTGACATGTTGAGCGAGAAAAATCTGCATTTTGGAAGCTGGACTTTTTAAAAAGTCCCGAGGAAAATCCGATAGTGCCAGGCCACCGCGCGGTATGAAATTAGGCAATAGACGGAAGGTGTACCTACAAAAGTACTGGTTTGGGCCACATTAATACGCACCTGTTTAATCCTGGAGTGAGTATCTGCTTGACATGTTTTATTACAGGTTCTGCAGCCAAACACATCTCACTGGTTTTAACGGCCCTCTGCAAGAGTCCGTTAGAACACACCAGATTAATAGATTTTCAGTTTTACTTGACGGTCGTGAAATATGGAAGTTTATACAATTCAAGATCATTTAGTGCTGTAAGAGGAGCGATTGTAATAGGCATGAGAATTTGCTTGCATACAAAAGAGTAAGTAGTAAACTGATATAACCTCTTGGTAGCCATTTATGGCCAAGAACCACTTTCTTCTAACTTGCAGGATGAGCAAAACAGCAAATCGTAGAGTGATGAACAAGAGACACAATATGGTAGGGAGGACGCCGAGGAGCCCAATATAAAGCAGATTCCTGCTTTCACCCTAAAATGAAGTGAACAATAAAAATACATTTCAGAAGATCCTTGTCAAAATGCAATTGCACGACGCTGCGATTAAACAGCCACATCATGATCAAAATAATATTAGTTGTTGGAGGCCGATGTTTTCAATGTTTCCATGTTCAATGTTATGAATATCTTAAACTTTGTTACAACATGTATTTGTTCTCGAAATGAGGAAGTTGTCGACTCTCTCGCACTCGCTCTCGACATGACAAGTTTGTGGTACTCTCGTAGACGCATTTTAAAATCTGGGGCCATCGTGCCCACCCAAGGAGCCAATCAGAACACATGATTCGCGTCATCATTCACTCATATATTTATGAAATAAAAGGCGTTTTTGTCAAGTATTGACGATCGGGCGATCACAATCCATCCATCCATCCATCCATTATGATACATAAGGGACCAGCGTAATAACACGAGTTCTTCACTTGATAAAAGACTAGCGATAAGTAGTATTAGGCTCAATATACTTTCTTACTTTGTAATAACTCTCACATTGAAAATAAATTCCAAGATGGAAACAGAACCTAAAAACACACAAAAATAGAAGTTAAAAGTGGAAAGATAACATGGAGTATTATGTAATATAGAAAAGGTCCTTGAGCGAAATCCAGGACTCTAATCTAACAAAGGTTAGTTAACGAAGATTCTACGGTTAGCTTAGGCTTCGACTCCAGAAACAAGCGTGTTTTAATTCATTTGTTTTTGCCTTTTATCGCTATAAATGGCTGCGTAATTTAACAAAAGGATTACACACGCAGTCGATATTGCTGTTTTATTTTTCACTTTTACGCCATCTACTTAAAAATCGAAAAACCATCAATAACTTACATTCAGTATTTTCTGTTACGATACATTACGTCATAAGTGACATGACTTGTGCAAGAAATCGATGGAATAGTAACAAAAATAGAAAGATAAGAGCCATTTGGAACGTCACATGTCTCCAGAGGCACGACATCCTATTCGTCAAAACGTCATTTGGAAGATGCGGATAATAAAAAATTATTGATGACGTCAGTAACTCTGAGATCAATGATTTTTTATTGCTAACATACAATCAGCAGCACGGTGGTGGTAGCTTCATTGTCATGAGTGTAGAACTCAAGAAAACGGCAAAACAGTTTATGTATCTGCACCACACACTAAAAAACTAAACCTCTGGCTAAGCCCGTCTGCGAGCCAGCGCCGAAATCCTTGTTTTTGTCCCCTAGCTGTGTACCAGGATTTGAATGCGCGAGCGGACATGATTGGCCTGTTAAAAATTGGAAACGCACTTCTGGTGATTCGTTGAGTCAGTTGAGTGTCCACAACAAGGATCTCGGCGGGGTTAGATTAATTCTGTGGCGCAGGCTATTCATAGCTATGCCAAGACGAAAATAGCCGAATTACTGACTAAAAATGAACGAAAACATTGCTTGATGGATATCGCCTGCGTTTTTTTGGTCTGAAACTGTCCCGAGGAAACAGGCAAATGCTGCTTTAAAGAATATTTGCGACAAGGTTGTGATGTTAGGAACTTAGAAATATTTTGAATTGAGAACACTTATTACTGAATTAAAATTTCCTATGACATAAAGAGTATGCAGAACTAGGAGGCTGTTATCCGCCGAAGCCTCACCGGCCTCCTCGATCTGAAAAACTCTTCACGATACCATACTCAGCCTCATTTAATCAACTTGCAGATCTCATCAAAGGCTATATCTAATGAGAGTTCTATCTTTTCGTGGCTTATGTACGCCGAAATTAGCACCACTTGAGCTCCCAATGAGGCCAGAAATAGCGCTGCAAGGGTATTCTGAAAGTGTCATTGATGGCCAGGCCTTTTCCATTGACCTTGAGAAACTTTTCATACTCTCAAAGAACCTTTCGAGCAGCTGGATTGGCTTGATCAACCGTCTACGCCCCGATAGTATTTCCCTGCTCTAGGATAATTTAAATAGTTGAATAGAGGAGAAATTTTTCCAACTTATATTCTTTTTTACTTAAATTTGAATTCAGCGAAAAATCATGATGAAGAAGCAAACAGCAGTTCAAAAGAATTGCGTACCTCGACACGCAACACTCTTGCATCTACAGCAAGTGATAAGGACCGACATTAGACACAAGTCGATAACCAGTTAGGATTCATTTACAACCTTCTCGTTAAATCACGAGGCATTGTCTAACCTTATAGCAGCATAAAGAAATCCAAGAGAGGATCCAACCAGCTTGTATTCAGTTGTAAGGCACGCAAAGAATGGGTAGAACAGTGTTCCATACACAAGAACAGAAAATATTTTCACAAAAACTGAAAGAAATTGCAAAATTAAACTTCACATGAACGTACCCTAAAGTACAAATTATAATTATCAAAATAAATAAATTCAAAATAAAACCGATCTTATCTCAAATGGAGTCTGGATAATGACATTGGTATATCCTGAATTGACGGAGGGAAATGAAAGCTACAACCTCGCGGACAAAATTGTTGACACGGGATTCTATTTTCTAACTTTTGCGCCATAATACCATCTCCCCTAAAAAGGAAAACGTAAGCCTCCTCCCACCCTCTAGTAATGTAGTTTTGGTCAAAGCCAACAGTTTAATTCTCGTGACCCTAAGCAACATTGGATACGGGGAGGGGGGCAACGGGCATTTATTTGGTGACGGTTTCCATTTTTTGCCAGGATGACTGAAAAAAAAAAAAAGGTTATTTTTGTGATGTTTCTCAACACGTTTTGTCCGAGGTTGTAGTTGACAGTTATTTTTAATGATCAGTACTATTATTCATTCAAGCTGTTTCGCCTTTTTTGATTAGTTTTTAGTTTAACCTCCGGGCTAATTCTTCATAACCAACTGGCACTGACCAAATTTGGAAGATGTTTGCCGAAATCAATAGAAGTGACTTCAATTTTACTTATTGACAGAAGAAGAGACAGACGGCGGCGCGGTCGCACAGCTGCTTTGGCAGTTCAGAGCTGGAGAAAACAGTGGAGGGTTTGACAAGTTACGCGAAGAAGAAAAATCCGAATTACCGCCTAAAGACATAGCAAGAATAGCAAAAACACCACTCTATGGATGACAACCACTGTCTAAGGAATATTTGTGAGAATGAACATCCTTTTGTATAAAGAAAGTGCCGAGGAAAAGGCAAATGTTAATTATGAAGACGGGAACTTTACATAGATGGGGATAAGCATGTTTTAAAGTAGGAAATATTTTGAATGAATAATACCATTTTCTCACCATTCAACCAACCAGGAACACTCGAGAAGGCGGATGCAACAGGAGTGGAAGAAAAAAAAAGGCTTAGGCAAGAATTAGCCGTGGCTCCAAAGGTAGCAGCAATGGTAAACCTGTTGCTGTAGCTAAAACTGCGTAAAAAGTTTAGTGGTCTGAAAACAAAAAAAGAACAAAGATAATACTTTACAATATATGTCATATAATAACTGTGCAGAGAGTACAGCTGTAAAGAAGGTAATACTTACATCAAGAGCCCGGGATAACCATGGCAGTATTCAAGTTTCAATTTGCTTCTTCGTTTAAGAAATGACAGAACCACAATAATGACAAGCTGTCGAGGAAACCAAAGGGAATCTTCAGGTAATACTAAAAGCTATACTTGGGTACACAGATACATGTAAACAATAAAATTTTAACCGTTATTGATAATGTTAAGTAAAACCAAAAGCAATAGGAAAATATCGAGCCATTACTCACAGCTGGACCGAGACATCCCAGTTCGAACGTCGTTGGATCAATGGTTGGTTTGCACCTGGAAAGGGATAAGGTACTTTTTTTCAGTGTTTGAATCTGTTTTGTTTTAATAAAACGAGCAACGTTTGCGCAAATCTTCAATTTAATCAATTTATTTTCTAAAGTATACATTTAAATTAACTTACACACCTCTACAATCTCATGTGATTTTAAAGTCCCATAAAATTAATGCATTATTATTCCTTTAAAATAATACTCCGTTCATGATTGGCTTAAATCCCTGGCTTATTTTTTTATAACCATCAAGCGGCCCCTAGAATTTTCTAGCGAAAGTAAGGCTACTCCATGTCCTCCATCTTTCGACTGGACTCATAAAGGCGTTTTGGATGAGACGAAAGTTCCACCTAAACTTTCGAGACGACCAAAGTTCGCCTTAGACAGCCGAACAGATGTAAATAGTTTTTAGTACCTCTCCAAGTCAACCAAACACGCTTCTAAAGCAAAGAGAAAACGATAGACACTTCTGCCGTATTTGGAAACATTCGGTTGTTTAGAGTTCCAAGTATACGAAATCGCCCCATGGATCATTATACGTTTTTTGGGGAAACTGCCCACTTACCCCTCCCCTAAGCCAACAATTTGCCCTAAATGAGAAGTAAGTGTTAATGTTGGCTTAGGGGAGGGGTAGAGGACAGTTTCCCAAGGTAATCTAAGACAGTCTTAGATTCTGATTTCCACGCTGTGGATTCCCGATTCCATGTCGGTGGATCTTGAATTCCGGATTCCAATTGTTAGCGCGATCCCAGATTCCTTGAACTGAATTCCAGATTCCGAAGCCCAGGATTCCACGAGCAAAAATTTATCTGATTCCGGAATCCGGATCACCCTACATCGCGTGATACGAAAAGACGACCGAGAATACAACTTAGTTTAAATTTCAGCTTAGCTTTGTTACCAAAAAATGTTGATCTCACCATGGCATGCGTTAATTTTAAAGTTTTTAATTATCTGAGAGGCTATATCAACACTTGAAAAAGTTTTTCATCCGATATGCAGATACTGGCCTCAAGGTCAGTGGCAACCTTAATTCCTTTCGGTGTCTGGATATCGTATGACCTGACTCAGTTAATCCTAATCTCGCCCCTTGTTCAATATATTGTATCCAAAATTCTGCTACTGGCTTTAAATGAACCTAGGTGAGCACACACGCGTTTGTTTTAATTGAAGCAAGCAGAACAGTAGCCTGAATTTCATCCGATTACTTCGAGTCGCTATTAGCTGAGCTACACGCGCAGCGCTTCGCGCCGCGCGCGGGCGGAGCCCCATAGCTAAGGAAATGTGGTAATCTGCTCATCCGAGAAAATTTGGTAATCACGTGACCGTACACCGAGCGAGCGAGCAAGCGACCGTCCGTCCGCACCACGGGCATACCAATGTAAAATAACTCAATCAACAGGTATGGCAACTCAAGGTTTTATTTGGAAGGAAATCACATGGCTGCCCTGACTTTTAGAAAGTAAAAACAACAACAAAGTCGTGTCTTTTTTCGGCGCTATTTTTTATGTTTACACTAACGTGGATAACAGAGAAAGAGCTAAAGCGAGTTATTGAAAATTCGTAGGAAGAAAAACATGAAAATTCAAAGCGGCGATGAGAAAATGAGAAATGCTAGCGGCCAGCAAGGTGAAAATGAGCGGCAGTGAAAATAAAAGCGAACATGAACACAGGAAACAAAATATTGCCTAAGCACACACGACAATTCCTCCAAAAAATAATGTGTGACAAGGAAGTTTGACGTTTTAGTCGTACAAAACAGCGCAGCGTTGTAGTCGTTCAAAACAACGGCAAGTGAAAGACAAAAAAGCGTGCTGCACGTGCAAATTTGTTTCTTGCTAATTAGAAGAAAAAGTGTGCTGCACGTGCAATTTGTTTTTTTTGCTAATGAGATCTATTAGTCTTGAAGCCATTTTCTTTGTCGTCCCTGTTTAGCGTTACATGATTTACTTTTTTTGTTTACACGTATTATTAACCAGAGCTTCGCTTTTAGCCCTGGCTAAATCTATATATTACTCCCTCAGTAACGTGTTGCCGAGACTGAGGAGAAAACGACTCGAAGCAGTCGGATGAAATTCAAGCTAGCAGAATGGAATTTTAGTAAAAATGAATAAAGATTTCTAATTTACACAACTCGTTTCGATAAAAAGAACCTGTTTTACTTACATTGTGTTAGAAGTACCATTCACTGCTGAAGCTTCCGACATTTGGAAGGTCAATGTGCAGGCTTTTCACGCCGATTTCACAAGGAGCCAGCTACGATACTGTTCAATTGCCCGGTGATTTGAAGATAAGCTTGTTGAACCTGTACCTCTGCTGACGTACAACTGAAACAGTAGACGAGTTTATAGAATACCAGATATCAAAGTTAAGGATACAGACTCTCACGGTTAAAAATCAAACCAGCTCCAGCGTCTCGCCCAGAACTGAAATAAATCTTATTTACATTGTGCTATCGTTGAATTAAAAAATTTGTCCGGACCGTTGTAAACGGGGTCTAAAGAATCTAAGCTCCGAATGAATTCATTAAATAAAATATAATGCTCCATCCAGACCAACTAGACAATTAAACCAGGGGCGGTGGGACGACAGGGTTTGGTGCGCTAAATCCCAATCCTCACTGAATATTTATCGCTGTCTCAGAACGGTGGGTTCCTACTAGATTATTTCTGTTACGGTTCCAATAACTGTTTACACTGCCACAATCCACTATAGTGTAGACATGAACTTAGATTAGCGAAACAGCATAACTTTGCACGTCCCTGTCGCTTTTTTGTACATTTGTTTGCCCCCAACTCCACCCTGTGGAATACATAGTGAA